CTCCTGCTACAAGAAAAGATGACTAATAATCATGTAGAATTAAAAACTGATATCCATTCTATTACCGGAAAATGAGTGAGATTCAGGAATCCATTCATAACAATGAGAAAAAGATAAAGAAGGTAGAGACGAGGGTGGAGCAGAATGAAAGGAACCTCGACTCGATCGACCAGAAATTAATGGCACAGAATAGGGAGTTGGAAGACTCTATTATCCAGCTTGAGATGGACCGGGCAGTTTTCTACCTTCGTTTTCAAAACGTGGTAGAGGACAAAGACGAAGATTTGGGAAACGTTATGGCGGACTTAATAGCTGGAATACTGCAACAGGACAAAGATGATATTAGAAAAGAGTTGGATGAAATTTACAGGGTGCAAACCAACTATGCCAGGAGGAATAAACTCCCTCGAGAAGTCCATGTCAGATTTGCCCGGAAGAAAGTGAAAGATATGCTATACAATATAGTAAGAGAAGAACCTGTAAGTTTCAAAGGCAAAGAGGTAATAGTATTGAAGCAAGTTCCGAAGAGGGTTCGAGATCTGAGAAGGGACTATAGGTTGTTGGCGATACAGTTAAACAAGAGAAGTATCCCCTTCAGATGGATTTTACCATGCTCATCACCTGGCAAGGGAAAAGAATTAAGATTGACAGTCTTGTCTCCGCACAAGAACTTTTGGACCAGCTGAGGGGTGCGGAGGAAGACCAAAGTAATAAGGAGGAACTGGATATAGCCTCCCAGGAAGAAATTAACGTACAGTTAAGAAAATCCAAAGAAGGAACACCAGAGGAAAAGGAGTTAGAAGAGAAGGAAGTTAAAGAAACCAAAGGAAAGAGACAAAGACCACAAAGAGCCATAAGGACAAATAAGAACTAGGTAGTTAGTCGGAAAAATGGAGGGTTGGAAATTGCTGTCTGTCAATGTCAATGGTCTAAATAATGGAGGGAAGAGGAAACAAATATTCTCAAAACTATTTAAAACTAATTCGGAAATAATATGTCTCCAAGAAGTTCATATAAAGAGAGAGGAGAGGAAATATTTGGAATTTGTGAAATTTGGCAAAACCTTTACCTCTCTAGCAGAGAAAAAAAAGGGGGGGAGTAGCGTTATATGTAAAGAAAGGAATTGCTGCTGAACTCAAATATTCAGATGATAAAGGGAGACTACTGGCAATTGAAATCAAGAGGGGCAGTATCCCAATTTTAGTAGTAGCTATTTATGCTCCAAATAGGAATTTAGGAGAATTTTATAGGAAATTAAGCCACAAAATAGACGAACTGGAGCATAGAAATATTTGCATTATTGGCGATTTCAATGGGGTAGTAAACCCGGAAATGGATTATAAGAGTGGAATAGTGAAAAAAAACAAAAGGGAAAGGCTCCCCAAAACCTTTTTTGACCTAGTCGATGAGCACAATTTAGTAGACCTCTGGTGAGTATTATATCCGAACGATAAGCAATTCACTTATTATTCAAACCCTCAGAAGTCCTGTTCAAGGATTGACATGGTTTGGGTCAGTAGAAGTTTGGGGTTAGAAATCCACTCTGTTGAAATCACCCCAAATGTATGGGCTGATCACAACCCATTAGAGATAAAGTGGAAGAGCCCAAACAGGATTAAACGAAGGAGATGGAGATTAAATACCCATATCCTTAGAGATGTAAGGTTTACCAAAAAGCTCCAGAGAGATTTACAATTGTTTTTTTGAGGAGAATGAGAACCAGGAAACTCCCTCAACATGTGTTTGGGATACAATGAAGGCTTATTTAAGAGGATTAGTAATATTGCACAATATATATAACAACAAAGAAAAAAGAAAGGCTCAGAAGGATTTCCTAATTCAGCTGGAAGAAGCAGAAAAGAGGCTACAACGAGACCCCAGTGATACTGCAAAAAAAGAACAATGCATGACAACAAGGCATAAATTAAACTTATTAGAACAGGAAGAACTGGCAAAAAAAAATCAAACAATCTAAACAATACTATTTTGACAATGCAAACAAGCCAGGGAGATGGTTATCGTATCGTAAAAGAGAAGGAGAAGGGGGTTATAGGTTGCTTGGAGAATTGGGAAGGTAAAATACTAGAGGAAGAGGAGGAGAAACTTGAGTTTGTCAGACAATATTACGAGACATTATATAGAGGAGGAAACCTCAATCAATAGCATTAATCAATACCTCGTCAAAGAGAAACTTCCACAGATAAAGGAGGAGGAAAGGGAAATGCTAAATAGAGAAATTACAACAGAGGAATTGAAGGGGGCAATATCTAAATTAAAGAGCAATAAAACCCCTGGCCCTGATGGCCTCCCAGGAGAATTGTATAAAAACCAAGAACTGGAAGAAATACTCGTACCGAAACTTCTGGCAATATGCAATGAGGCCCTGAGAGGCTCCAGGATTCCAGAATCGTGGAAGGAGGCGTTCATCACATTGGTAGAAAAAGAAGGTACCGACCCCAAACAAATAAAGAACTATAGGCCGATCTCCTTACTTAATACAGACTATAAAATATTTATGGGAATACTAGCAGGTAGGATGAAGATAATACTAAATAATTGGATCCACCCTGACCAAAACGGGTTCCTCCCTGGAAGACAGATCAGAACTAACATGAGAGTGGTGATGGATGTGCTGGAGTACTATGAAATACACTCCGAGAAACAGCTGGCCTTGGTCTTTCTCGACGCTCAGAAGGCGTTCGACAACCTAAATAGGGGATTTATGATCCAGCAGATTAAAAGAATGAATTTTGGAGAATACTTCGAGAATGCGATAAAACAATTTATGATAAACAGAGTGCAAATATTATACTGAATGGAGATATGACCAAAACTTTCCGGATTGGTAAAGGGGTAAGGCAAGGCTGTCCACTCTCTCCACTCTTATTTATATTGGCCCTGGAGATATTGTTAAGGAATATTAGGCAAAATAACGAGATACGCGGATTGGAAATTAGGAACGAAACCGTCAAAATTCAAGCTTTTGCCGACCATGTAGCGTTGATTATGGAGGACCCGTTAACGACTGGGCCAAAGGTATTGAAAGAGATAGACGAGTACAGGAAGCTATCTGGATTTAAATTAAATATGACAAAAACTAAAATGTTAACAAAAAATATCCTGAAAAGAGAACAGGAAATATTAACAGAAAATTTGGGCATCCAAACAGTTAAAAAGATAAAATATTTAGGGATTTGGATTACTGCTAGATGCTCAACCCTGAAGGAGGATAATTATACAGCATTACTGACAAAGATCAAGCAAGATTTGGACCGTTGGGGGAGGTTACAAATATTGTTCTAGGTAGGACAGCCACCATTAAGATGAGTATTCTCCCCAAATTAATATACTTGTTTCAAACCACACCAGTTAGCATTGACAAAAAATATTTTTCGGATCTAAATTTGATAGTAAGGAAATTTATTTGGGGAGGGAAAAAGCCGAGAATTGCGTTATGATCACTGCAGGAAAAAAGAAACAAAGGCGGATTTGGGCTCCCAGTTTGGGAGATATACCACAAAGCTGCCAATTTAGTATGGCTACGAGAGTAGGCCTCATTAAGAAACAAAAGAATTCTACAACTGGAAGGGCATGACCTGCTGAGAGGCTGGCATGCCTACCTCTGGGATAAAGGAAAGGGGGCAGGGATATGTTTTCACTGACACAAAATTAGAGATACATTAATGAAGACATGGAAAGAAATTAGGCATAAACATTACTTTAAAATCCCAAAATGGATCTCTACAATGGAGGCAATGATCTACCCAAACACAATAAGCAGAGAGAAAATGTTCACATATCAAGACATTCTAGATAACAGTGGCAACCTTAAATCAAATGAGATATTGAAAGAGCAAGGGATTCATATCGATTGGTGGCCCTATTTACAAATTAAATCCTGATATAGGAAAGATAAACAGGAAGAGGGAATAGAAACGGGGACAAATAGCTTTGATAAGGTATGGTTGGGCAATGAGAATAAACTATTAGCTAAATTATACTCCTATCTGCTCGAATATGATAGAGAAGGAGAAATACTTAAAGACCAAATGATCGCTTGGGGGAAAAATATCGACTCAAAGATAAACTTGGATGATTGGGAAGAAATATGGAACAGTAATCTTAAATTGACAAGAGCAACAAGCTATAAGGAGAATCAGTACAAAATGCTGTATAGATGGCATTTAGCACCATCTAGAATTGCAAAGATTTATTTGAATGCAAGCCCCAAGTGTTGGAAATGCGGCCACTATCAAGGTACCTTCTACCACATGTGGTGGATGTGCCCAGAAGCGAGGAAATTCTGGAAAAAAATACAAAAATGGATCCAAGAAATATTAAATGAGGATATTAACTTTTTGCCTGAAATTTATCTCCTGGGAGTGCTAAAGCGAACATTTGTTAAGAAAAAGAAATATCTGATTATTCATATTGTCACAGCTGCTAGACTCTCCTATGCCAGTTACTGGAAAGAGAAAAAATGTCCAACTGAGGAACAGGTAGTCAATAAAGTATTGGACTGTGCAGAAATGTGTAGATTAACGTATGTGTTAAACGGAAAGGAGGACTCAGAATTCTACGCACTTTGGGATCTGTGGTATAGGTGGTTGAAAAATAAATGCAAAAGTTAACATTTATTAGGACAATGTTTAATTACTAATTAAATCTATATATTATTGTTGTAATCAATTTTATAAAAATTCACGTATAAATTGTATAATATTTAGATAATTGATTAGATACCATACCTGTAAATATACAATATGACTACACGTTGCCGAACTGTAAAGTTTGAAATGTAATATACTCTTTATTCAATAAAATTTCATTAAAAAAAGAAAGAAAGAAAGGCAGCTGGGTGACTTTCAGCCACTCACCAGGAGACGGTGAGTTCTAGTCCCGCCTTAGGCATGAACACAATGGCAAACCTTTGGCCTCTCATGTTCTACCCACAAAGAGCATTACTGGAGACCCACATCGGGGAAATCCTCAATACTGACCGGAAACTTGGTAAAGGCAGGATTGGCCACATGTTTTCCGAAGGCATCTTCCTGGAACTGCAGCAATTGGGAAACTAGCCCAGCCAGGGTCTTATTGGTCGGTGCGTCAGCCTGGACATACTGTGAAACAAAAGACACACAGAGTTATTAAACGAATCCAGCTTCCCTGTGGACTTTGCTCGTCAGACAGTCGCTAAAGGGGATCACCTGATTCCGGGGTACTGAAACCGTTGTAAATACGAGCCAGTTGCCAAGCGTCCCAATTTTGATCACATGACCGTAGGGAGACGCTGCAAGGGTCGTTAAGTGTGAAAAACGGTTGTAAGAGACTTTTTTCAGTGCTGTTGTAAGTCTGAACAGTCATTAAATGAACTGTTGTAAGTCAAGGACTCCTTTCTTAAGCTCCACCAGGGGACCTGATCAGCCACTTAGGATTGTCAGGAATTCTCTAGGGTCTCCTGCTTGAGACCTCCAAGATCCCCTCCAATTCTGTCATATAGACCCACAAAGTAGCCCCCCCAAACCCTGCTTAAGCTGTTTGTTTATACTTAGTGAATAATGAATAAACAATCTACGGCAGCATATTCATTTCTGGTTTTTTTCAGCATTACCTGCCAAACTCTCTCTTACCCAAAGAAAAAGGAATCTCCCATTTTTCAGAACAAAACAACAAAGCTGGAAGGGACTTTGGCAGCCTTCTAGTCCAACCCCCTGCTCAAGCAGGAGACCCTAGACCATTTTTGACCAATGGCTGTCCAGCCTCTTTTTAGAAAGCCTCCAGTGATGGAGCACCGACAATTAAGGAGGACGGACAGCCATATATCCAGAATGGGTACACGGCCTCTTGCTCAAGCAAGGGGTTGGACTAGATGACCACCAAGGTCCCTTTCAACTCTGTATTTCTGTAAGGCAGGGATGGGTTCCAAATTTTTTTACTACTGGTTCTGCGGGCATGGCTTGCTTGGTGGTCTCATGTGACTGGATGGGCATGGCCAACTCAATGTCACTCATGTCAAGGAGTGCCTCACCTGGCCCCTCCCCTCCCAGCCATTCCTTGTCACACCGAGCCTCAACGTATCTATATTTCTGTAAAAATGTTGTTCACCTTTTTTCGACTTTATCATCTACATACTATAGATGCACTTTCATGGACCACTGAAAGGAGGAAATGGCTCACATGCTTTGCCCAAGAGTGTGATAGGCAACAGGCTTATCCCTCCTCCTTTGGATTTATTGGACAGGCCCTCCGGGGTTTCAGCTAATCCAATCTAAGATGCCTCCAAGGAATACGTTATCTCTCTCTTTGTTTTCTCAGATTACTTTCTCTTCAGCACCTCCCGTACCTCTCTGTGCCTGTCCATTACACATCTACATAGCATCTCTCAGTTTTAAGGAATGTCTCCGTGCACCCTCAGCAGGCCCCTCTCCTATGCCAAAGAACAAGATAATGCCCACATGTTCTCCAGGCATGGAAAGAAATTTCCACAAAGCATATAATCTGATTTTGTAAACATTGTAAAAATCAGTCATATACCCTAACTTGGACCTACATCTCCCGCAACAGACAGATTCCTTCCTTTTGTCTTCCTAACTGGCCACTAATTGGTCTCCTATTAACCGCACAAAAGGTGTGTGGATTGTTCTTGTAGTTTGAGTTACATACCAATTCCTGGGGAAATGGGGTGGCATTTAAGAAAGAAAAAGGATTTATGAAGGATTTAAATCTTAATGCAGGAAGGATACAATTGATTCCATACATATGCTTTACATAGGTACATGTATTATAAATGCTTAACAAATAGATGCTTAAAAGGAAAATAGTTTTATAACAACATAACATATATTATACAATAGAATAACAAGTTTATTACTATTTCCTTCATTACTATTTTATTTTTAATTCCCTTATTCCCTACAAGGACAGTGTAAAATATTAACACAATAAATAATAGAACAATTAAAAATAATAGCATAGTTTTCTCTCTCTCCCTTCCTTCTTCTTTTTCTTTCTTGTCTATCTCCCTTCCTCTTTCTCCCTTCCTTCCTTTCTTCTTTGTCTCTCTCTCTCACACACACACACAACTTCCTCTTTCTTTTTCTTTCTTTCTTTCTTTCTTTCTTTCTTTCTTTCTTTCTTTCTTTCTTTCTTTCCTTCCTTCTTTCTTTCTTTCTTCTCTTCCCCCGAGGCTGAGCACGCCAGGCCCAAAAGGTGAGTGAGCCTCGCCATGTCCCCTCGGCTTTTTGGCTGAGCGCAATGGGATTCCCTCCCCCTGCTGACAGCATCGGCAAGGTATATCTTCCACGCGCCTCTGAAGGAAAGGCTGAAGGCGGCCGGCCCTTCGGGGAGACACTGAAGCCACTAAGCTAGGGCTGAGAGGGTTAGCAGCAGCAGCCGGTTGTGGTGGCCTCGGCAGGAGAGGGCAGTGGCGGCGGCTGCAGGAGCCGGTCAGCGAAAAGGGTGCTGCCCAGCCTGGCGAGCTTTGTAGTATACGGTTGCTGCGAAGCTTACCGGGCTGCCCCCATCCTGTCCGGTTCCCACTGCTGCTGCAAAGGGGTGGGTTCGGGAGTCGCTGGTCAGCGGGAAAGGAGCTGCCCTGCCCGGCAAGCTCTGTAACCACGTGGCGTCCCCCGAGGCTAAGCATGCCAGGCCCAAAAGGCGAGTGAGCCTCGCTATGTCCCCCCCCCCGAGGCGGCTCTTCGGCCAAGTGCAGCAGGTCTCCCTTCCCCCACCACCAGCATTGGCCTTACTTTCTCGATCTTCCACGTGCCTCTGGAGGAAAGGCGGCGGCAGCAGGAGACGGTGGCGGTGGCCTCGGCAGAAGAGGGCAGTGGGGGCGAGGAGGGTGAAGCCGGCGGCCCAGCAAGCTGACCCCCCCTCCCGGTCCCCACAGCAGCTGCAATGGCGCTGGATTTGGAGGCTGCTGGCAGGCGGGGAGGGGGCCATCTGGCCTGCAAGCATCGCAGGCATGGAAGAAGCTGCTGCTGTCGCTGCCATGTTCTTCACACATGCACATCCCATTGGACTTGCAAGGCAATGGGATGCGCATGTGTGAAAAACATGGTGGCTAGGGAGAGTGAGTGGCGACTGGGGGACCAGTTCAGGGGCGTGGCCAGCCAGCCATTACTACTGGTTCTGCGACCGATGACAAATTTTTACTACCGGTTCTTCCGAACCGGGAGCAACCCACCACTGCTGTAAGGGTCTACTGTTTGAGCAGGGGGCTGGACTAGATAACCTCCAAGGAACCTTCCAACTCTGTCATTCTATGATTCTGTAAGGGTTTCCTATTTGAGCAGGGGCTTGGACCAAAAGACCTCCAAGATTACTTCCAACTCCGTATTTCTCTAAGGGTCTGTTGCTTGAGCTGGGGGTTGGACTAGATGACCTCCAAGGCCCCTTCCAACCCCTGTAAGGGTCTCCTGCCTGAGCAGAGGATTGGACTAGATGACCTTTGAGGTCTCTTCCAATTCTTCTTCTATTCTGTACAACCCCAGGGCCAGTTTTGTTGTACACAATCTAAGATTTTATTGGCTTTTCTAATTGCTATAATCCACTCGGCAGCTACCAAACTAATTGGCAGCCTCTTTTTAAAAAAGGGAGATCAAATCCAGCCCTGCAGGCCATTGTGGGCGGCCCAAGTTCATTCGTACACAACAGCACAGTGCACAACAGCTGAACAACAGCTGAAACATCGCCAGGCTGGCAGGCACAGGGGGGTCGGCTGGGGTTGCGAGTCACAGATCTGGGGAGGGACAGCTGCACTTCCAGCTGCTCTTCCCTGCTGAACCTTTCGAGGAGCTGTTGTGTTTGTTGTCAACACCTGCCAGTCCACTGCCACGAGGTCAGCAAGGAGGTGTGGTTGTGACAATACAGGCTTTATAAAAGATGAGGGAACTGATCCCATTTGCAGATGACACGAAATACTTAAGAGACTTCAGTAAGGCATTCGACACAGTGGACCACAACGTACTTCTTGGTAAGCTGAAAAATGTGGGATAGACAGCATCACCACAGATGGAGTTGTAACTGGCTGACAAACTGTTCTCAACGAGTAGTCCTTAACAAGACTACATCTCCAGGGAGGGAAGTAAGCAGTGGGGTACCATGAGGTAAGTCTTAGGCCCAGGACACTTGAATATCTTTATAAATGACTTAGATGAGGGAATAGAAGGGGAACTCATCAAATTTGCAAATGACACTAAATTGGCCAGAATAGCCAACACACCATAAGACAAGCTTGGGACCCAAAAAGATCTGGACAGACTCGATCCCTGGGCCCTGTCCAACAATATGAAATTTAATATGGAGAAAAGCAAGGTTTTATACCTAGGCAGAAAAAAACAAAGATACAAGTACAGAGTGGGTGAAATCCAGCTCAAAAACAGTAACTGTGAGAAGTAGTTTTAACCTATAGAATGCTTCTGGAGGTGTGGGGTGGTGGTGAAAAGAGGCCAAACAAACAGGCGAAAATGGCCCATTTTTGGTCAAAAAATGAACAATTTTTGCCTGGTTTTGGCCTGCAGAATGCTTCTGGAGGTGGGGGGGCAGGAAAACAGGGTGCTGTTGCCCCAGGAGGCCAGAAAACAGGTGAAAATGGCCCATTTTCCACCTCCCCCGCCTCCAGAAGATAGAGATGGAAAGAGACAGAGAGAGAGAGAGGGAGAGAGAAAAGGGGGGGCTGAGAGAAAGAGGGAGAAACAGAAAGAGAGAGAGAAAGAGAGAGAGAGAGAAAGAGATTTCTCAAGCTCCTTGGGAGCTGAGAATTGCTGCAAGTTTCCTGAAGTGGACCACTAGACTCCTAAACTGAAATAATGATCTAGTAAAAGAAAAGGCAACCAAAAGAGCAACATGCAAACAAAAGCAAATAAAACACCCCCAGTAGCAAAACAAAATTTAAGTTTAATTTGTGTGCACTGTTCAATGGACTGTTAAATTGGCCACGCCCAACTAGTCACATGACCACCTAACCACACCCATCCAGCCGATCCTGGCCCCCCCCAACAGTCTGAGGGACCATGAAGTTTGAGGACCCCTGGGTTAAGGGGTTATAGGGTCATCGGTTAAGTGAGTTTTGCCCCATTTTACGAACTTTCTTTCCACGGTTGTTGAGTGAATTGCTGCAGTTGTGAAGTGAGTCGCATGTTGTTAATGAATCCAGCTTCCCCAATGACTTTGCTCACCAGAAAGTCACCAAAGGGAAATCGCTTTGACCCTGGGACGATGCAACTATCATAAATAGGAATCAATTGCCAAGCATCTGAATTCTGATCATGTCACATGGGGATGCTATTATGGCTGCAAGTGTAAAAACTGCTCATGTCCCTTTTTTTTCTGGTGCCGTTGTAACTTGGAATGGTTGCTAAAGCAACAGTTGTAAGGGTGGTGAAAAGTTCGATAAATAAATTACTCTTATTGTTGTTGTTAAATCATAATAAATCAATCAGAGGGAAGGAGGGAGGGTGAGAAAGGAAGGAAAGGAGGAGAAAAAGGAAGGAGAGAAAAAAGAAGGAAAAAGGAGAATTAGGAGGAAGAAAGAGAGGAGGGAGAGAGTAAAGAAGGAAAAGGAAAGGAGGAGGAAAGAAGAGAGATGGAGAATAGGAGGAAGACAGGAAGGAAAACAGAGAGAGGGAGGAAAAAGAAGGAAAAGGAGGGAGGAGGAAAGGAAGGAGAAAAAGGAAAGAAGAAAGGAAGGAAGGAGTAAATGAAACTAGCAAACTTTTGAGAGAAAACTTGAATTCTGATTGCAAAGAGATGAGCACAGCTGCCTCGGTTCCCTGCTGCGCATGTATGTAACTGCTCTATCATGCGTGCAGGATGTCATGCCTGTTCATGCACTAAAGAAACCAACAGGTTTGACCTGCCTTACAACCTCTGCGGTTCATCTGACATTGCAGGTTTCAGAAAAAGGTACAGAGGCTGCATCGCTGTATAACTTGACTACACATGGGAAAAGCAGCTTGGAAAAATTCGACATGGGGGAGGAGGAGTTGCAAAAAGCTTGTGGCATTGGGTTTGACGTAGCTACCTCACAAGGGGTTAGAAGAGACTATGATCTATGTCACAGCAATTAGGGTAACCAAGGAGTTTTTAAGCTCGGAGTTGAAATGCGGGCGTCCTTGGTGCTCTCTGAACTGGGTGATTTCCTTGCAGACGTTTCATGACCCAACTAAGGAACAGCATCAGCGCTAGAAGGGAATTGGGGTGTGGAGAGGAGGAGGAGGTGTACTCTCCAAGCTGTGGCTCTCTTGCAGACAACTTGTTACCAAACTAGGTAATGTCATCAGTGCTAACAATGGTGTTCATTCATGTTTCAGTGGATAATGAAATTCTGCAAGAAAATCACCAAGGCCAGAGAGCATCGAGAACCTCTCAGTCCTCCTCCTTTTCTTCTTCCTCTTCCTCCTCTCTTTTAGCACTGATGATGTTTCCTAGTTGGGTCATAAAACATCAACCATCAAGCTCAGAGAACACCAAGGACCAGATGGTCCTTTTCTTCTTCCTCCCCCTCCCCCTCCCCCTCCTCTACTTTCTCACCCCCCCTTATCCTCCTCCTCTCTTCTAGTACCAATGCCGTTCCCTAGTAGAGTCACAAGACCTCTGCAAAAAAACCACCCAGCTCAGAGAGCACCAAGGACCCCACAGTTCTCCTCCTCCTCCTCTTCCTCCCACCTCACTCCCTTCTAACACTAACATTGTTCCCTGGTTGTGTCACAAAACGTCTGCAAGGAAACCACCCAGCTCTCAGAGCACCAAGGACCCTACAGAATGAGAAACTCAGATAAGCAGGGATTCACCCCAGACAAAAGATCAAGTAGACAACAATACCCCAATCAAGGAATTACCAAGGGAAAAAAACCCACATTCCCACCAGCAGTGCCGGGGCAAGCAACGTATGTAAACAGAGACCAACCCACTCACCCCCATCCTTCCTTCCAGCACTGATGATGTTCCCTAGTTGGGTCATGAGACCTCTACAAACCAACCACCAAGCTCCGAGAGCACCAAGATCAAAGAAAGAGAAATCCAGATGAACGTGGATTGACACCAGTCAAACCATCAAGCAGAAAACAATAATCATTCTTCCCCACCCCAAGTCATGATGTCTTTACCCTCCTGCCCTGGGAGAGTGGGGTGGCTGTGGATTATGGGACCAGGTGGACTTGGAGTCATGCCTCTTCCACCCATAGTTGACCCTAGATGACAGGTCATCCTTCTCCCCCCCCCCGTCATGTCTTTACCCTCCTGCCCTGTGGGATTGTGTGGAGGGTTGTGGATTATGGGTCTAGCTGGACCTTGGGACGGGCCTCCCCCCTCCCATATTTAAATCTAGATGTAGTCACTGTTGTCTTAAGGTTCAGCTGGACCCATAATCCAGAGCCACCAAAAGGGCAGGAAGGTAAAGACATTATGCCTTTGTGTGTGTCTGTGTAGGGAAGAATGACCCCCTCCCCATCTAGGGTTAAGAAAAAGGGGAGGGGGAACAATAATCCCCAGGTCCAGCTGGCCCCATCATCCACAACCACTCTGATGAAAGAGACCCTAACCTAATCGCAGGGAAGCACTGTGGGGAAGGATCTGTGAGGAGGGGGGAGGGGGATAAAGGGGGAGGGGGTCGAGGGGAGGTAGGGGTCAGAGGTCAAGGGTCAGGGGCCTCCTATTCTTTGTTTTTTCCCTCAGGAATGAGAGGCCTCATTATTTTTTCTTTCTTTTTCTCATCAGAAATGAGAGGCCTCGTGTTTTTTTCCCCCCTCAATAATAAGAGGCCTCCTATTCTTTTCTTTTTCTTTCTTTTTTACCTCAGGAATGAGAGGCCCTCCTATTCTTTCTTTCTTAATTCCCTCTCATTTCTCTTTCCCCACCCCTCACCTTCTTGTAATGCTTAGCCAGCCAAGCGCGGGTGGCTTCCAACTGCGAAGCCGTGTCGGCGCTTTCCCAAAATTTCCCGGCTGGGCCTCCGTCTTTCCGGCGGGAAAGCGACAAAGGGCCGGCGGAAGAAAACGACGACGACGACGACGAGGACGAAGAAGCCGAACCGGGCCCGCTGCCTCCGACGACGGTTCCAGGCCCCGACACGGGACTCGAGGCCGCCGTTGCCGAGGCCGCCGCCATTGTCCTGCCGGGCCTACCGCGCCGTCGCCGCCGCCGCCGCCGGGGCCCCGCGCCGCCCACTTTCCTCGCTCCGCGCATGCGCGGCCGAGGAGGCGCCGCGGCGGCTACTGAGGCTGTTCGCTCGCCGTCGCTCTCTCTCTTTCTCTCTCTCTCTCTCTCGCGCTCTTTCCGCGCACGCGCCGCCTCAACGCCGAGCTCGCGACGGCTCCTCGGCCGGGGTTGCCTCAGGCTGAGGGGGAGGATCGGCGGAGCGCATGCGCCGACGGACCAAAGACACGCCCTCCAGGCTCGAAAGCGCCTGCGCCGTCCTCGCCGCCGCTGAGTTACGCGCACGCGCACTTTCCCCGCTTCACCCCTCACCCCCCAGGTTTCGATGGGCAGCCGGCCCGGCCGAATGGACAGGGGGCTTTTTTTTTTTTTTTTACTTTTGCGCAAGCGCGGATTGAGTGGAGTGGACTGCGCCTGCGTGAAACGGGGAGCAATAGAGGCGGCCGGAGACCCCTGAAAGAGGGTCGGGGATGGAGTGGGGAGGGGCGACGAAAGGACCTCCGCCGCTTGGCCTCGCCCACTCCCACCCAGTCGCGCCACGTGGAGGGCGCACGCCTGGACTTCCACTCCCATGATCCACTGCTACCGCTGGCCGTGGGCGGGGTGGGGGGGTTATACAGCACGCAGCCCCTCCCAGCCCGGATTGTTCCTGTCTGCACGTGTGAAAGGGCTTGACAGGTGTATCATGCGTGTTCCGTGCCTGGTCAAGCAGCCAGAGATAGATTTCCGGTTTTTTTGGTGTGGCTGGTTTTAAAATTACAGGTAGTCCTCGACTTGCGACCATAATGGAACCCAAAATTTCTTGCCTGGAGTTTCCTACATTTTACTGCCTTTCTTGTCACTGTCCTTAAGGTGATGAAATTAGTCTCCTGGTTGTTAAAAGGAATCGGGCTTTGCTGGTTGGAAGGTTGCAAAAGGGGATCCCGTGACCGTCATAAATATGAGACAGTTGCGAAGCATCTGAATTTGGATCCCGTAAACCTGGGGATGCTGCAATGGTCGTTAAGTGTGAAAAAGGGTCGTAAGTCCCTCTTTTCGGTGCTGTTTTGAGATTGGTCACTAAATGAACTGTTGTAAGTCGAGGACTAGTTGTAGGGAGCCCTTTTGTGAAGGGCATAGAGCATAGGCAGGGAAGAGTTTGATAGATAAATAAATATGATTGTTGCTGTTAATAATAATAATAATAATAATTTTATTTTTATACCGCCCTTCTCCCGAAGGACTCAGGGCGGTGTACAGCCAGTTTAAAAACACAAGATACAACAATAATTAAAAATTAAAATAATTAAATAGATTTGGCTGATTTAAAACTCTAAAAATTAAAATACCCCAATTTAAAATTATTACAGGTAGTCATCGATTTACGACCACAATTGAGCCCACATTTTTCGTTGCTAAGTGCAACATTTCATCAGTGAACTGTGCTCCATTTTACAACTTTCCGCGCCATGGTTGTTCAGTGAATCATTGCAGTTCTTCAGTTACATGGTTGTTAAATGAATCTGGCTTCCCCATTGACTTGGACTTGTCAAGCGGGTCACAAAGGGGAGGAATCACGTGACCCAGGGATGCTGCCACCGTCATAAGTATGAACCAGTTGCCAAAGCATCCGAATTTAGATCACGTGACCATGGGGATGCTGCAACAGTCATGAGAAAAGCGGTCAGAATTCCTGTTTTTCAGTGCCCTTGCAGGGGTGGGCTCTAAATTTTTTTTTACTACAGGTTCTGTGGGTGTGGCTTATTTTGTGGGTGTGGCTTGATGGTCATGTGACAATTCTTTAGGATTTAGCAGAGGTACTGGTCTACCAGCTTTTAACTGCTTGCAGAGCTGTACAGATCTACCCATTTATTTTTTGAGCGCCCTGGTCTACCACCACACTGCCTTTTAACACTGATCAGCTGTAGGGCGGCCCTTTGAAGCCCCACTGCAAGAGTTTAAACAGCTTTTTTCCTTCTAGCACAGTGGTTCTCAACCTGTGGGTCGAGACCCCTTTGGGGGTTGAACGACCCTTTCACAGGGGTCGCCTAAGACCATCCGAAAACACATATTTTCAATAGTCTTAGAAATAATTTTATGGTTGGGGGTCACCACAACATGAGGAACTGTATTAAAGGGTCGCGGCATTAGGAAGGTTGAGACCCACTGTTCTAGCAGATCAGGTGGGACTCAGGAGGCAGCAATAGATTGGGGGTGAGGCCAAATAAAAGGTAAGAATAATGTAGGGGGAGGGTGGGGGTCCAGGGGGCAGAACCGGTTTGGCGGAACTGGCCTGAACCAGGTGGAACCTACCACTGTGCCCTTGTAACTTCAAACCGTCACTAAATGAACTGCTGTAAATCGAGGACTATAGAGCCTATGGAGATTTTCGGCCATCCAGGTTGTGATTGTCCCGAAAGGTGCTTTTTCAAGAGGAAACTGACCTTTGCATTCTTTTTAGAGACGTTGAGGACGCCTGGAGGTTTGTGGGCGTCCTCGGGGTCCCCCCCTCCCCCGATTAGCACAAATGTGTGTGTAGCTTCCTTGGAACTGCTGAAAGGGTTGTGTTGTAGTTTAGAGCAGGGTGGATTTTTTTTTTATTATTTGATTTATATGCCGCCCTTCTCCGGAGACTCAGGGCAGCTTACAATGTGTTAAGCAATAGCCTTCATACTTTTGTATATTTATACAAAGTCAGCTTATTGCCCCCACAAACTGGGTCCTCATTTTACCTACCTTAGAAAGGATGGAAGGCTGAGTCAACCTTGAGCCTTGGCGAGATTCGAACCTGCAGTAATTGCAGGTAGCTGGTCTTAATAACAGGGTGCTTTAGACCACTGTACTACCAAGGCTCGAGTTGATTTAAATCACAATTTAAATCATGATTTAAATCACTAGGAAAAAGGCTTGATTTAAATCAACTCGATTTAAATCATAATTTTTAAAGAGCAACTGTCATCTCTGCTACTCCTTTGACCCGCTGTTGACTCACCGATAGTTCGTGTTGCAGAATATACGGCCTCATGCTACCTAAGCTCCATTTCATGATGAATAAACTAAATTATTTATGTATCTTAAATAGAAAACTATCTTACAATAGATTTTTACCCCAAAAGTTTTTTATTAAAATAAATTCGATAAAAATCAAAAAAATGCAATTTAAATAAAAAAAACCCAATTTAAATAAAAAAAAAATCGAGTTTTTTGATTTTTTTTAAAAAAAATCATTGATTTTTATCCACCTTGGTTTAGAGGATGTTATGGTATCCTCCCCCCCCCTCTTGAGACAATGTCAGGCCTGCCTCTGTTCAAAACCCAAGAAAGAAACACAAACCCCCCCACCCGCCGATTCCATTGAATTAGAGAAGAAGTACTTTTACTGAGTTTGAAATGATAGCAGCGAAAGAAATCAAAGATCTTGAGCCAAAAGACCTGAAAGTTACACAGTGAACATTTCCCCAAATCCCTCCCCCCCAAAGACCCGGGCTGAATGTCCAATCCCCGTCCCACATAGTGTCCTGTGGGGCACATCTTGGAAGTGTTTTCGTCCATCTGGAGTTCCAGGACGGTTGGCCTTGACTGAAGGTAAAACAACTCCCTTCAGCAGCGCCCGTGATATCGTGAGAGCAAAACCTCCCGTTTTATCTACATGGGCCCTCTTCACGCCAGCTCTCTTCCCAAACCCCAATGCCGTGCCCCCCCACCCTCCCTCCCTCCCCATTACTATGGCAGCTGATAGCAAGCGAGCATCGGAGGGAAAAACCCAAAGCCGGAGATCTAGCTGACGGACAGGACTGTTCAATTTTGACAAAGGTGGCCTCTTGGGCCCCCCCCTTTCAAACCTGTCCAAAATGTGGAATTGTCCATCAGGACAGAGCTTGAAGGGACCTTGGAGGTCATTTAGTCCAAGCCCGTGTCAGCCTCTATGATGGTGGCTGCCATAGTAACGGGAGGGGGGAAGCAATTTAGGGATTTGGGAGGTGGTGGAGATATCTCGGGAAAGGGAGGAAAACTCTCACTGCCTTCTGCCTCCGTAGCCGCTGCAGGGCGTGCTGATAGCACTCAAGGTCAGCCGTTCCAGCATACCAGATAGATGGGGCCGTCTGAAGAAAGCAATCCCACGCGACCCCTCGGGGAGATTTCGGTTGGACATTCAACCTGGGTCCTTGGGGAGAGAGATTTCGGGGATGCTTTCAATATGTACCTTTCGCGCCTTTAGCTTCAAGATCTTGCCTTTTCTTTCCTTGCGTTCAGTTCCTGCTCAGTAAAAGTACCTTTCTTTACGAACTGTGGAGTTGGGGTTTCCCTTTCTTGAGTTTTGGACGGAGGCACGCCTGACTTAAGCAGGAGAACCTCTCTCATTCCGGACAAATGGTTGCCCAACCTCTTCTTCGAAACCTCCAGCGAGGGAGCGCCCACAGCTTCTGGAGGCGAGCCCTTCCTTCCACTGATTCATTGTTCTAACCAATGATGGAGAACCTGGATGGAGGATCTCCCTTGATCCTTCTTCCTCCCAATCAAGCTTATCTAAACATCCACGCCATCTTGGTCCCTTCCCTCCTGGGAATCCAGACCACGTCCCACCACACCTAGATAAAACCCAGGGCAGCCTCCCTATGGCTGGATGGACTTCAGCTCCCAGCTATCTCAACAGCGGCCATGTTGACTGAGGAATTGGCAAGCAGGCCTTCAGCTCAGTGGTGTAGGGTTTTGATAACCGCCATTTGCTGCTCCAGTCAGTGGTGACAATCAAAATGTAAATGTAAATATAGTTTGCAGATTGTAACACAGTCCTTTCAGCAGTTCCAAGGAGGCTCCATGCCCATGTGTGGAGACTCCAGTGACCAAGGACACAGAAAAAACCTCCAAACAGCCTCAACGGCTCTCTAAAATGAATACAAATGACCAGCTGTCTGCAAAGAGTATCAATTGCTGTTTCCCCCTCCCCCGAAGATGTTTCCCCTCTCATCCGAGAAGCTTCCTTCAGTTCT